GATGTGGACTGCAAGTATGTGCTTTCACCACCACAAGCCTTCATGTTCAGATACTGACTTTTTTTTAAGCTTATATTAATTTTCAGCTTCTCATAACACAAATTATTGGTTCTGATAGCATACACTTAACACTGATTTCTAAGAAGTTTAACATTAAAAACGTCATTTGGAAAAATTTTAATTTTTGTTATTTGAAGAGCAGTCTAAAAATGATGCGGAGAACTTGGGATTTCCATTATTTAGAGTTAGTGTTTTTGCCCAACGTAGACGATTTTTAAAACTTTGCTTTATAAATGCATTTCAATACTAAGAAAATATTATTTATATTTTAACATTTTACTACATATAATAAATTAAAAAATCATATAACACAAAGCTGCATTTTAAAAATAAATTTAAATTGTCAGTGTTTCCAATATTTTTAACTTAGTAAACTGTTTTATTGATATTATTTATGTCTACAGAATAAGTAATTTTCAAAGCAAATTACTTCCATTATTTTCTACATTGAATGTTCATTTATAATTTAGGTTTCCTAGAATATGCTTGTAAATGTAAAAATAGGTAAACTGTTTCTGACTGATAAACAGTGGGATATTTCACCACTTTCACATCTGAGGAAGCTTCAGTTGGTTCCTTTTCTATCTCACTGTGGGCATGCCTGCAAGTGATTAAGGCTGTGGAGGCTAATAGCCTACAATCTTCACTCTGCCATAGGTTTGCACTCAGCCTGATTGACACATAGTTGTCACTCACTTGACACTTGAGTATGCAAATCCTAATCTAGAATTGACAAGAAAACAGAAAGCCATCTGCAAAGTATTGTGGAAGACATCTTTGCTCAGCATTCTTCAAAACACCCACGTTGTTGTCAAAGGAAATCCAAACTTCTTTTATATTAGTAATAATTTGCCATTTATTGAGCTCTAACTACATGACATCTTTTTTTTATTTAATTTTCCAACAAACGTATGTAGTTAATATTATTATCAATATTTTACAAAGGAAGGAAATTAGACAAAGGGTAACTAATAACCTGGCTCAAGATACAGTAAAGGTTACAGTTGGAATTCAAAGGCAGGTCTCTCTGACTGCAAAGCTTGATGATGTTCTTATGCATCTACATTGTAGCTCCCACACTGAACTTATATTCACTCCACACTGGAACCGTATTGGACTATGTGAACTCTGTAAGCTAGCATCATTCTACTAGCATGCCTAATGGGAGGTCTTTCACATCCATGTTCTAGCACTTAAGATCCTGACTCACACTTGGTAGAAGATCATTGAAAGTATTTTAGAAATGAATGAATGACAGTCTCCCCCCTTCTCATCTCATTTACCAAATATATATGTACGTGTGTGTGTGTGCACACACGTACATATATGTATTGCTGTGCCTTAAAGGTTGTTACAAGCCTTTAAAATATCATGAATGAATTAGAACTTCATGTTGAGAAGGAGAAAACAAAAGTGTTCTCCTTAAAAATAGTCCTTTTCTGAGGTTCATTTTAGTGGAATTTTAGATTTTCAAATTTTTGTACAGTGGGACAGATTTGTTAAGAAAATAGGGCTTACACTAATTTACTATTTCTTAATTATCCAAATAATTTCATTTAAAAATAATAATTAGAAAATGCAAAGCAGCAAAATGAAAAAATTATGCTATAATCTCCAAAAATAAAATTAACATTTTTTATAAATGTCAAAACCTCTGTTGTACACACACATAGGTCTATTTATGTGTGTGTATTTACCATACAAAAATAAATTTTGAGGGGCCAGCCTGGTAGCCCAGCAGTTAAGTTTGCACATTCCACTTCAGCAGCCCAGGGTTCACGGGTTTGGATCCCAGGTGCCATATGGCACCTCTTGGCAAGCCATACTGTGGTAAGCATCCCACATATAAAGTAGAGGATGATGGGCACAGATGCTAGCTCAGGCCCAATCTTCCTCAGCAAAAAGAGGAGGATTGGCAGCAGATGGTAGCTCATGGCTGATCTTCCTCAACAAATAAATAAATAAATAATTAAATTTTGAGTCATGCATACAAACAGTAGTCTAAATGTGTGAGAGTGTGATTATACATAATTTACCAATCTATGTGTAACTACATGAAATTTTAAAAATAATTGCTTAAAATCCTGTTGTTTTTAAATGGGAGCAGTTTACAAGCATCACTTATTACCAATCAACAAATAGGACATCATGAACATTTGTAATGATTGCATAATATTCTAAAGTTTTGGACACTATAAATAATTCAGTATATACTGCGTTTTCCACTCAGTTTTTGCTGTGTGCGTGTATGTGTGTATATGAAATGCTGTTAGAGTGTTTAGAATTAGCGTTTAAAAATTTTTGAGATGTGAGATCTTCAAATTTTTCTCTATATTTAAGTATTGTCTTATTTTAAAATGTTAATGTTGGAATATTTTATATTGTTCCTCACTACTTGCTGTAGGAAAGATTGAAATTATCTTTAAAGTGAATTTGGTTGTGTATATAGGTTCAAAATTTTAGCAATTAGAGTTTTATGTCTATAACTCCCCCCAAAAAACCTGAATAGAATTGATTTGCTTTACTTGTTACCAAATTTCAGGCACTAGGTGGAGTGGCTTCGCGTGTTGTGCACCAGGTCTCACACTGTGATTACCAACCTTCCTGCTTAGTGGTTTGATTATTTAAATTATTAATCCATTAAAATATGAATAAATATGAGTAGATTATTTTATACACTATACAATTAAAAGGCTGTATATTTTAGTAGAAATAATTTTTTTTTTAAAAGCATACCATTGTCAAATAATTTTATTAATACTGCAGGTAACAGTTTTTAAGTATTAACTCATTCTATCTGAAGATTTATGTTCAGATTCCTGGGATAAGATAAATTGTTAAAAAGCATGGCATGAAGAATTTATAAAGAAGTAAATGAAGTTGCAAAGTTATGGTGATATAATGTGGAAAGAAAAGAAACAATTTGTTAACATTTTCAGCTTAAAGAATGTTAGTTTTTCAATAGTTGACTTAACGTTTAACTCCATTTTATTTTTCTATTGTATTTGTTGCACATTAGGGAAAAAATCTACACATAATTTCTAAAGGTCATTTCATGCTTTTCCAAACATATTCATTTTTTACATACTATTTTTTTAAGATTCTGTTCTAGTTGCTTCCATATCTCACCAAATACTTTGTTATTCTAACTTTCTAGTCAGTAATATACACATCCTTTCTCTTTTCTTCTGTTCTAATTGTCTGTCTATGTTGCTTCCACATTCTTGGCTTATATATGAGAAGTGGTAGGAAATATACCATAAATTTTATTCTTTTAATAGAAGTAACAGTATACAATAAACTTATTTAAAGGATGAAGGTGGTAAGATTCATATGTTACTAAGTTGATCTTCTACAGGAAGAGTCAGATATATACTAAGGAAAACTTAACAAAAATAATAATAGCAAATATAATGAGACAACTTTGCATAGGTAATAAGACTGATATTCTGGTAAATATTCTAGTGGGGAGGTAAGATTGGAACACTATTGAGGAAAGCATGTCAGTTCCACAAACACTACTAAGAGTGGACTAGTAGAACAAGATTTCTGTGGTCCATGTGTATTTCGCAGTCACAACCATTATTTTCTCTCATGCAGTGTTTATCTACATGCTGACATTCAGCTTTCCAAAGCAGAGTATTCAGACTTTGTTTCTCAGATTAAAAACTCAAAAGTTAAAAAGCTATATAGTGTGCAGTTGAAGACAAGGATCCACATAAAATACTGATAGAATTTTATAATTTTTATAACAATCCATAAGAACTAGCAAAAAGCATAGTTCCACAAAGCATTCATGTAGATTTTTTTATTGATTTATAAAAGATGCTTAGGGATCTGCTCTTTCTGTATACATCTCCAAACTATCGTGATCTTAGCAGAAGTCACCAGTAGTTTTAGAGATTTCCTTGGCTGATTCTTCACCAGAGCAAACTATTTTGAAATTATTAGAGCAGTGTAAGGAAGATATGGTTTTGTTCATGACCCTGCTGAAATCACATAAATCTTCTCAAATTTTCTTTTCTTTCTTATTTCATATGACGCATGTCTTGTCATTTAAAATGTCTGTTCTTGTAGATGACCCATTTGATGATTCTCCAATTTTGTGCACCATATCCATTAAATTTCCTGTTTTATATTTTTCAGTAAGACAAAAGGAAACTAAAACTAAAAAAAAGAAAACTAAAATAATTCAATGAAACAATTTCTAAATGAAAACAGTCTGTGTTTGGTCTATGTAAGATTATACCACACAGGGGTCGTATTGTTTAAGTTTCTCTAGAAAACCAATGAAAAATAATAATTGATTTTAATTAGTAAAACTTCTGTTGAGCAAAGAGTCTGTATATTATACGGCCACTTGTCTAAATCTGATATGCATTTTCATTTGGTTTTTAAAGTTTGCTTACATGACTTAATAAAGAGGAAATTCTTTCTCTCGAAATTTACTTTAAATTCTTGTGAAATGTCACTCATTAAATTGTCTTAAAGTAAAGGTTATACTTTATTTGGAGTCCTGACTGAAAGTATTTCAACACATATGCTTTATCCATTAGTGTTTGAATATGCCTTTTCCTCTGGTTCTCTTGAGAGTTAAAACAAATTGAATATAATATGACTTCAAAGTTTAAAACTAAACTTCAAAAAGTTACTCTTGCTGTTCTTAGACGATTGTATGGAAACACGGGCTTTTCCCATCTCACAAATGAGAAAATCATTTTCAAAATGTTTACATGAAAAATTTGGGATAATTTTGACAGCCAAAACTTTTTAGGAAAACAACATTTGTAATTGGTGTTTAATATGCAGTGATTTTAGCATGTGCGTATAGAATATCAGTATACATTAATTCACTAAAAATAGATTCTCATAAAAGTTGAGGGATGTTGTGTTACTTTATCATTGTTGTTCTCACTTTTATTATTTATTTATCATTGCAGATCAAAAAGATCAACAGAAATTTTCCTGTAAACCAGCAGGTAAGATGAAGAAATATTTGGAAAGCCAAATCATATATTTATTTCATTTATCTATTATAGAAGATAATCTTTATGGCATTTAATTTTATGTAGAAATAATTGATACCATTATTTTCTATATTTAGGAAAATAAATAATTTATTAGATTTCCTTCATATTGTGTAATATATCAGTTTTTCTAATCGTATTAAAAACTTTTATCTAAGTACACTAAGTCAAAACTATTTTTGCCAAAATAATTATATTTATTTGAATACAATGTTGAAGAACTTGGAGAGCTATTTACATAAGATTGTTTTACTGTATCAGCATTTGGGAGACCATGTTTACTCCCATGTGAACATGGGAGTTGAAAGTTATGGGTTAGTTACATTAGTTACATGTTAACTAATCTAAAAGTTAAAAGGAATTTTCAAAATTGGCTGACAGTATTTCAAGTGAGTCTAAATTAGTGTAGAATGAAAATAATGTCTGATTAATCAAGCAAAGAATTTAGTTGATTTATTAGACTAATAATTCATTGTAGAATAAAATAATTGGTTATAGAAAATAACTGATTCCACTTATAATTTTATCTTGGTAAACAATTTTTGTATTGCTTTCGTAAACAAAATAAAAACATTAATTTGAGAGAGAAAAGTAAACATAGGCTCACTTTTTGGACTCAGGCAGGTCATCAGTGTTTCAGGTTTGTGTGACAACACAGCTGCAGTTGTAAGCCATAAACTCCTTACTCTTGACACCAACCTCAGTTTGCAACCCCTGACCAAAATCTGCATATGTAAGATATCTACTTACAGATGGTACACTAATCACAAGTTAACATCAATGGTAAAAATTTTAAAATAGTCTTCAACTTATAAAACCTAACTTATTTTTTTATCTAAACTTCAGTTGCCTCATCTGTAGCATTTGTATATTGCAACTAACTTACATATTTATTTTTGAGGACTAAATGATAATAAATGTAAAGTTCTCAATATACGGCATCATTATCATTGATGTGTTACAATTTTAAGCTTGTTCACTGGAATACAGAATTTATGTTCTTGTATAAACTATGTTATTAATGATGTAACTAGCCCAGACTAACCCACAAAGCCATGTGTGACTGAATACTAGAAAGACCAGCTTGGGAGAGCTCAGTGTGTCTACGGTGCTCTCAACTCTCTTGCTAGCCCTAGGGATATTGTGCTTCCTACTTTCAGGTCCTCGTGCCTGAGCCAAGTTTATGTTTCAGATTGATGCAAGGGTTGGAAAGATGTATGTGCCTCACCACATTCCACAGCAAGTTGTAGTTGTGTTTGGGGCCCTTGTTTTCAGTGCAGAGATCAGATCTCTAGCCCAGTGCCTCTGACTCACTAACTCTGTGATGATACCTGGGAAACTCCCTTTGTAGGTCCCATCTCATCCCAGATGATTCTGATGCAGGTAGGGCACAGGTGACATCTTGGGAAACACGGGTTAACAATTTCATAGGGCTGAGGTAGAGGAAACAATTTATTCATGAGAAATTATTGAAATAGAAAGAAGCATCAGCTATGGGGGAAGGTTGTAGTGTCCATCAGCAGATATGGTCATTTTATAGTCAGATATATAAAAATGTAGATTTACTCATTTTGGGAATTCTTGCCAAAAATGTAAATAATGAATGTTTCTCTAAGAATGACTCTCATATCTGTGTTATCACCCTTTCTTGCCCTTTCTAACCTCAGCATGTGAAGTATTAATAATTAGTGTAATCTGTATTACTATCAATGTTTCATAACCCTGATAACCCCACAGTTAATCTTGGTTATAATAACTACATTTAACACTTCCTATATAATCCATTCACTGACTTGCAGTATTCCTTGGCACCTCTGCATTTATCTACATTTATCAAGTAATACTGAGTGAAGTAAATAAGAATTTTAAAAAACTTACATATAGAATAATAAAAACTGTTGAATAGTCCAACACGTATATAATAAACATAGGTAAGCATTAGTATTCATAGGTTTTGTCTTTGCTAGTCTTTTAATATCATTATACTGAAATTTTATTTCAAATATCTTAGCATCTCACAATTTGGATATCACAATGAATTCCTCTTGGCATTTTAAAAACTAAAATCAAGATGTAATAGATTTTTTTCCTTCCTACTTTCCATCATGTAAATGAAGACTTTCAGGAAATAGGTTTAGTTTGTAGTTCAACATTCACATATATGTATAATAGGAAAAACTCATCTGCATAGTATGATAACAATGCATTAGGAGACCAGGGTACATTCCGTACTTAATAAAATCTGAGCCACTTTAAAGAATAAAAATTTTAAAACCCATGTAATCTCATTTCTCATCCATATTTAGCATTTAAACAGGACTCTTACTTTGGATTAAGCCATGTTATGTTGTTGCTTTCATCTCAAATTTCTTCCTAACTTAATTTTCATGTAGAGTTCTCTGAAGCTTAGATTGGATATAAATGTACATATTTATACAAGTGCTTTTAATTAAATAATTCAGACATACATTAAATATTCAAGTGTTATACAACAAAAGTCAAGCCTCTTCATATCCCTGATACTCGAGGTCTCAAAAAAGATAAAAAGACATCCCGTAAGATATTATTAGAGCATGTCTTCTGCTTCCTGTGGGATTTGGTTTTGAATTTGTGTTACCCATATGGTACAGCTACCCCAACCAGAGAAATCAAAATGAAAACAAAACATAAAGCGGTATGGAACTGGAGAAAGTTACTGCTGAGCAGTAGAGGCCAGTGCCACAGATGAGCTTTAAAGGGACACACCCACAGTCCAGAATGCACAAGACTTTCAGTAAAACCACTCTCACTGAAGAAAAGATTTGAATGAAAAATTATAAACCATATAAGGAAATAGCATTATAAGGGAAAGTGTAGCCTATAAATTAAAGAACAATGTAAAACTATCTTTAATTATCATGTGTTTTTAAAAAAAAAAATAAAGGAAGGGAAATTGTAAGCCAAGAACAGGACATGGTATTAAAAAATGTGGATTTGCAGAAGAACTAAATAGAAGTTCAAAAACAAAAAAAAGTGAGTATATTTAAAATTAAAATAAATGAACCAATTGAATAATAGAATAGATAAAGATGAAGATAAAATATGTAATTGGAATTACTATATTTGAGAATATTGTCAGAATTCAGAACAGACAGAAAGGGAATGTAAGACATGAGTTTAGAATAAGAAGCTCCAAAAAAAAAATTCTGCAGAAAGAGTGGAGAAAGTGTGTAAGAGGCCATGTGTGAAGAGAAATGAAGGCTAAGAGTTTCTATGAGTCTTTAGATTACAGAACCAAACTAACTCCTGAGCATGATGAAGAGAAACAAACAAAGCCACGCCAACAAAGGATCTGAAATAACGTAAATATCTGTTTTATCTACCACAATTTTGATCAGATTCATTTATAAAGTGAACACACTGAAATTCAACTTCAATTGATAACTTTATTGAAAAGTGCAGCAAGGGGTGCCAGTGGTCTTACTGTTAAATTCAGTATTGATACTCAGCTGAGTGTAAAATCATGTTGTGATAATCCACTCAATGCATTAGACGTCATTTAGACAAGCAGATCTATATCACAGTGCTATATATACCCAAGTCCTTTGTTATTATTTATTCCATTTATCATTTTAATGGTCATTAAGTAAAATTCCTCCATATTGAAGCATACTTCATTATTCCCACAAAAATAGCCTTTTACAATGAATATATTCTATAATTACCAAAGAGAAATGTTATAGAGGATTAATTCATCATGAAAATATTAATATAATGAGCTCCCTTTATATCAGGCACTATGCAAAACATTATCATTAAATTATAAATAGTTTACATAAATAAATATTATACTTATTTAAAATAAATAAAATATTACCTCAGGTAGTTTATCTTATAGAAACATTCATTTTCGACTAGCTATAATAATTTGGACACCTTATTATAGAGAGGTACATCGGATGCATAGAATGATGCAGACAACAGAGGAAAAAATGACTTGCACTTTCTAAGAGTGTTGGGAGAGTTAAGAAATTAAAAGAGACTTTAAAAACCCATTTTTGGAGTAGGATCAAAGAAGGTAGAGGAGTAAGGACCTCCAAAAAGTTGCTTCCCCATAAAAGCAACAAAAAAATGGAGCAAGTTGACTTTGTAACAACTTTGGGAATTCACCAAAGGCTTGCTGAACCCAAGGAGCATTTATTCAAGAAAAACACCTCAATCTTGATAGGAACAAGGAACTTTGTGGCATTTTAAATTTACCTAATCTTAATCCTGCTCTCCAACAATATGGTAGCCTTGAAAATAACAGCTCACATTCCCAGTGCAGTCTATCTCCTAAGATCCAGTGATTGTCTAGTTGTGGTCCAATCATCTTTTAAAACCAGCTATCCTAAAATTTATAATCTAATAAGATGTGTATGGGTTTAGTTCATTTTTAGCTTTATTGAAGATGTACATTTGTGTCCTTTTTAAACAAAATGTTCTACTAATGAGACTGGAAATAGGTCTTCGTTTTTATTTTGGATTTCAAAACCCAGATTCTTTTCAACTGGAAGGAGAACTTCTTTTAGTTCTCCATATATTAAATTTATAAATGTTGACAACAAATCATAGAGTCACATAATTTGCAGATAATGAGCCTGTTGTTGTTTTAGCTCATTTTATAATACTTGGTGATAAAAGTATGCTGACATTTTATAGTTTAAAGAAGAATCTTCTTCAAAAAAGTAACATTTCCATATAAATTAATACTGGTGAAAGCAACTAGCTTACATAATCCTTGTGAAAGTGTAATAGCAGAGGTTTCATAGGAAAAAGACAGAAGTATAAAAAATATTTTGCTGTCGAGCTAAAAGAGCCCACATCTAATTATGCACAAAAATAGTTATTATAATCAAAATACAATGAACTACATTTTAGAAATATTGGGAGAGAGTTGTTTAAATGGTGGGAAGCTGTGTGTGTGTGTATTG